CTCTCTCTCTCTCTCTCTCTCTCTCTCTCTCTCTCTCTCTCTCTCTCTCTTCCCCCCTCTCTCACTCTCTCCCTCTCTCTCACACATTATCTCTCTCACCCTCCCTTTACTCTTTCCTCTCGTTACCCCTCTCCCCTTCTTCACCTTGCCACCTGTTTCACACTTTCTTTTTCTTCTTCTCACTCTTCTTCACTCAAATAAGACACTCAGTCTGCGGTCCTTTTTGTTTAGCTAGGTTGCCCCCCCCCCCCCATCGTGCAGGAGGAATAGCGTGAACTCTGCGGCGCACCGCCTCTCGTCCCTGCCTCAAGTCGGTCTCAGCGCCTGTCGTACCGAGACAGGCAACCCCAACTCACGCGTGGCGGGCACCGTGCCTACGCTGCCCGGCGCTCGGCGGCTCCCCCGCATTGGCTCCCACCCCGCCATCCGTACGCTGCTAAAAATATTTTGCGATTTCACAACACTTTCAAATGTGAAATCAAATGCAAATGTGAAATCACAACCCTTCTTTGAAATGAAAAATAGTTCATTTTGCTATCTTAATTGGAAATAGTTTTGAAACAATCGTAATCACTTTTGTTTAAATCAAGTTAATCAATTTTTCACAATGAAGACGAGTTGTGATTTCACAAAGAGTGCTGGCAACATTTTTCACAACAAAGTCTTCGTGAAGTTCGGACTTATTTTTTACAGTGCCTAACGGCACCTCTGAAAATTCATTTTTAGACGAACCCTAAGACTTACTTTACTAAAGGGAATATTTTTTAGACAGTCCCCAAGACTGTCTCTACTAGAAGGGAAAATTTTCAGACAGTCCCCAAGACTATTTCCATGTATTCACAAAGCGAGTAAAGCCGACTAATTCCCTACAGTATATATCTGGACCCGACGAGGCCTCAGGGGCCTTTTTATATTCTATCTGCCAGCCGGAGGGGCTTGGCCAGCCTGCACTGGGAGAGGGTCGCGGCGGTGGTGTTGTGCAGTTTGAAGAGATTTGCACGGAGGTTGGCCCGCTGGGAAACTCGAGGAGCTTCTCTGGTCGGGGCGGCACGTGCGGG